GATGTGCTTGCAATAGAGAAAATATGGTACATGCACCTCTATTGGGGATGTGCTTCTAATACAGCTATTATGGTACGTGCGCCTTTACTGGAGATGTGCTTATAATACAATAAATATGGTACATGCACCTCTACTGGAAATGTGCTTCTAATGGAGCAAATATGGTACATGCACCTCTACTGGAGGTGTACTTCTAATGGAGCATATATGGTACATGCACCTCTATTGGAGATGTACTTTTAATAGAGCAAATGTGGTACATGCACCTCTATTGGAGATGCAATTCTAATAGAGCAAATATGGTACATGTACCTGTAATGGAGATGTACGTCTAATAGATGTGCACTATACACATATTAATTCAATCAAGTGAATTGATATACGATATGGTCAATCTAGTTGAAGGAATTGTATCACATGACTAGACAGTGAAATAATAACAGTAACTGGCACATATTTTACAAGGTATATTAATTTAAAGTGAAATAAAGCGTGATTTAATTTGTGATAAATACATGATGCCAAAAATTGGATCATACCAATTTGTCATGGAGATGATTATTGCATGCACGAATATAACGTGCACCCATCGTCTCAAGTCCTTTCATAACAAAAACACTGGAACCATTACGAATTAATTAATTTCGCTGGAAAGACTTTTTGGATGTTTTCTATGAAGTTTATTTTCACTGATTATCGATATTGAAGTTGAATGTAAAATGTAGTATAAACAGGTATATTCGGTGAATTTTATTGTCACTGACCATCCTTTCAGCAAAAATAAATTATTATACAAGAAGTGAAATACTTTGGAACTTTTTACATTAATTACTTCAGTTATAATTTCTAAAAATTACAGTGTTTCCTAATGTGTGTAAAGTTCATCCATGTAGTTGAGAATAAGACAGAAATGAAGTCGTACGTAAAACTGCACGTGCAGTAAACATTTTATCTATCATAATTTACGACATTATAAACATGGTTTTGTGCCAAACATTCTGAAGTTGTTAGGCGAGTTTACAAATTTTTATTTGTCTTTCTCGTGCTAAGCACACACACATTGTATTCATGTGACAAGCCAGTCTTTTTGAACGGTGAATAGCATATATTCGAGGAGATGCGGCAGTGTAAGTTTAACAGTTCAACAAAATGGCGTCTGAATTGAATATTTTTTATAGATACAAGATATATACATTTGAAATGTAATTCCTCACCCCCCTTGGCTGTTATCATTAATTTTACATCACCTGAGTGATATACATCCCAAAATAAACATTTTTTCACTCAGAACCGAAAGAGCAACAAGACTAGATTTTCAGGGACGCAGGTTGTTTAGATCGAATGGTTTCTTTTTTGTTTCAAGTTTGTTGTTTGTCTAGAAACATAGCAACATAGACCAGGCTATTCATTAGTTGATTTAATAATCCTGAACAAATTAATATAAGCACCTTTTTTTGTAGTGATTAATTCCATCACATTAGTCCAATAATAAATTTCTCCTTCAAAAATCTCATAAAACTGTAAAGTTAGCCAGGCTATATATAGTCTTGCTGGTTTACCATGATAAAATTGAACAATTATGGCCTCTATGTATAATTTCATATTTCCAGTTTGAGTCATACAAGTACAAGTGTAAAAATAAAACATACCAAAATGTTATAATCAATATTATCATCAAGTTGACATATATGGTCTAATCATACTACCTTTTTAATATCTGACATTGCTTAATTGGAATCGAGTTCAAGTGCTAGCATAAGTCATGGAAATGCATAAATAGATGCCTTGTTTTTCCAGTTATCCATCATTGTCTGGTCTTGCTGGAGATCAAAGTTTGTGTCTCATGGCCGGCAAGGAGGTGGCAATGCCCATTCACAGGCTGACATAATACATGGCAATGTCCATGCAGATGCCTTGTTTTACCAGTTATCCATCACTGTTTGGTCTTGCTGGAGACCAGAGTGTTGATTCAGGGTCGGCATAAGTCATGGCATGTACAGAGGTTTTGTTTTTCCAGTTATCCATCATTGTCTGGTCTTGCTGAGGACCAAAGTGTTTGCTTAAGGGCTAACATATTACATGGCAATGTCCATGCAGATGCCTTGTTTTACCAGTTATCCATCACTGTTTGGTCTTGCTGGAGACCAGAGTGTTGGTCCAGAGTCGGCATAATACATGGCAATGCTCATGCACAGACAAAGGCCTTGTTTTTCCAGCTATCCATTATTGTCTGGTCTTGCTGGGGACCAGAGTGTTGATTCAGGGTCGGCATAAGTCATGGCAATGCATGTACAGAGGCTTTGTTTTTTCAGTTATCCATCATTGTCTGGTCTTGCTGGGGACCAGAATTGTTTGGTTCAGGGCTGACATAAGACATGGCAATGCCTATACAGTCTTTGTTTTTCCAGTTATCCATCATTGTCTGATCTTGCTGGAGACCAAAGTGTTTGGTTCAGGGCTGACATAATATATGGCAATGTCCATGCAGATGCATTGTTTTACCAGTTAACCATCATTGTCTGGTCTTGCTGGAGACCAGGGTGTTGACTTGATTTACCACGGACAGGGGTTGCCTCTTGTACCTTTTCATCTTGCTTTCACACAATTTTGTTACAATTCCAAATATCGCCTGTATCAATTGGTTTGGCTCTTCCAAGTCACACAACAGCAACATCAATATACTTGCTAGCTGTATCTGCATCCCTGATTCCAACCATATCTGTGAAGCGCTCTTCTTAGTCTTGATTTCTACACAGAAGACTTTGTTCTTCCCTGATGTAATATAAATTATCTGCTTCACCCTCTACAGGTCCTTCAGATTCATGTATCTCATTATTTGCAGACTTTTCATCAGCATCGTTTCTTAAGGAATTGCCTTAGTCACTAATGACACACAGCTTCTGTGCTTGTGGCCTCTGTCCGCCGCTAAAAGGTGAAGTGTGTATTCCATGCATTATGTTCGATGTCATCTTATGAATGCAGTTCTACAACACAATCTATTCACCTTTCGAATCGTAATTCTGGCACATGTTTAATGTGCTTGCGTTCATTTTACATGTATCCTATAATAGCAATCGCAATGTGTGGATTTGCCCACGGGATCTGGTATCTTGATTCATAGACAGTTTATTTTATTCTTTTCAATTTCTTCACAGATTAATACAATGAAGAATGACTGAACACCTTGTACTATTTTAAACATCTGATGAAATCCAAAGTGCAAAGTGAAATCCTATCTTGCATCATCATTCCGTAATTTTCTGTTCACCGGCAGTACATAGTGGTAAAATAAAACAGTGCTGTATTGCGTAAAATTAGTCTACCATACTTGTACACGGATATACATCAAATACTAGACCATACATTTCAGTTTGTATAATAATCCAAGATGAAAAAACGCGTGTTTCTTCTTCTGATTGCAATCACTGTGTGCAGCTTAACAGCCCATCTGATGTTTCTATGGAGATCCAGCATTCCACAGACACCATCACGGACTACGTTAGCCCCTGCACGTAACATTCAAAACGATTCGCCTCAAGTAAAACAAGGCAATCCTGATTTAAGGAAGATTCTACATGATTACGACAAACAGTTTAAAGAACAACCTGCGAGTAAAATAAACCCATTTGGGGTGCACTACAGTGGGAAGAAATTCCTTGGGAATATGACAGAGCAGGATGTTTTATGCCGACTGAAAAATACCCTCCCAAGCACAATGACATCTAACATAACACCATTTAAGGAGATGGGGATATCAAATTATTTTCCAGATAAAAACATATACGAGAAATATAGTTACAGTCACTGTGCAGTTGTATTAAGTTCTTTTTATATGAATGAAACAGAATTCGGAGATGAAATAGGTTAAAATTATTTTTTTCTTATTCTTCTTTTACAGAATCTGTACGGCTGGAATCCCTTCTGCCACGTCACTGTCACTACGTCACTTACATTTTTTGGCAATACTTAGTTATATGATTAAAATTGTGCTTAATGAAATAGCTGACAAGCAGCCTTGGAAAATGTGTGGATGAGATAATATGAGGACAAGATAATAAGCACTTATTTTGTTCGATTTCCTGTGATGTTTGGACTTCATTCCATGCTCTAGAACCTATTCAAGTATTATCGTTATTTTCTTTTTTAGATGCTCATGAGGCTGTTCTGCGACTGAACAATGCCCCCACTGACAGATACGAGGAATCAGTGGGAAGGAAAACCTCAATTCACCTATTTAACAGTAAATGTTTTAATAAAGAAGCACATATTAACAACACAGAGGCCATGTTTGTAAACACCACACTCGTCATGTGGCAAACTGGCCCATATAATGGTAATTTGTACAAGGTGAGTAGTGTTAATGATACAGAGACCGTGTTTTGAATTACACTCCAGTCGCTTGGAAAACGGGGCCGTATTGTACACAGTGAGTAGTGTTAACGACAGATGCCTTGTTTTGAATTCCCACTCTAGTAACTTGGCAAACTGAGCCATTTGATGGTATTTTGTACACATTCAGTGAGTAGTGTTAATGACATAGAGGCCATGTTTGTGAACACCACACTGGTCACATAACAAACCGGACCATATAATGGTAATTTGTATAAGTTGAATAGTGTTAATGACACAGAGGCCATGTTTGTGAACACCACACTGGTCACATGACAAACCGGACCATATAATGGTAATTTGTATAAGTTGAATAGTGTTAATGACATAGAGGCCATGTTTGTGAAAACCACACTGGTAACATAACAAACCGGACCATATAATGGTAATTTGCATGCATGTATGGGAGTCTAAAAACTAACTCTGCGACGCGATTGTGCGACTCGCCGAATGTCGATTATTGCACTCTGTGACAGGATCGCAGTGTCACTCTGCGAAGAGCACAATTCCTATTGGTTAGTTGGTCGAACAGCGCGAATCCCAATGGTCGATGTTCACCGCAGGCCTTATAACATGGTAAGAAAGGTACGGTAAATAAGTGTGTAAACACTATGTACCGGCGACATGCCGCACTGTTCGGTGATCGGCAAGCACATGGAAGACAAATTGTGGGACCAAACAAATGACACATGGTTTACGGTTTTAAGATACATCACACCGCTGGCTAGAAAAATTAAATAGTGTAACGTGCACGTTGGTTTTGACTGCCTATTTACGGTGTAACGTTATCGCCATCTTGGAGTTGTAAGGCTTCGTCCGGAAGACTATGCTCATTAGCATAGGCGGCAACTTCAAAGCGAGTGGAACGCGAAATACTTTTCACTCGTTCTGCAACGAATGTTGTACGTCTGCTTTGACTTTGTTGAGTGCATCAAGGAAAAAAATTTGCATGCCGTGAAAAAAAATCATTCACGACGTGCAACGTTTTGCCATGACAGCAGTTGTTTGCAATCGTCTGCCTTCGTTTAGATCATAAACGGACTCAAAACTTGTGGTTTACAATCGATCAGCTGGTATTTTAACCACCAGAAATGAAATACTTTGTAACAGTTGTGAAAAGTAAACAAAAACGGCGTTGGTTTGTGGTATGAATGTAATTATTTTTATATCATAATTCAGTATCATAATTCAGTATCATAAGTCAGTATTACTGAAAAATTATGGTTGATTTTTTTTAAATCAACGCCAAATTTCGGTGGTCCATTTTGATCTTTTAAAATGTTGTGGAAAGACCAGTGCTCAAACGCTAACACAACTACCGTGCGCGTTTCGTTAATATTTGTGCAATGTTTATACCATGTATATGTATACTACCGGTAATACTCTTGTTGACGATTCTGATAGAACGGGTGACAAGCTTCCTGTCGCATACAATGCATATTAATCTAACGTCCATTCACAGGGAGCCCAGGAACTATAATCAACTGTAGTACGCAGTGTTTATGAGCGGGGGGGGGGGGGGTGTTATCGGCTGGTATCTAGTGTAAGAAATAGACAAGGGATGAAGGCTCCAGCCAGCTCACATTTTTTAAACTCGAAAAAACGAAAAGAATGAAAAATAAAATATAAAAAAATACCAGGTTGAAGAATATTAGTTGCTCCTTCGAATTTCGCCAAAGCCTTGCCTACATTTTACCGATATCTCTTTTCTACCTCCATGCTTCAAGTGTGTCAAAATAATATTCTTTGTTTATATACACTGTACTAATCGGGCTCTGGCAAAACAAAGCATTTCATTATAAAAAGGGCATACATAAAAAAACGCAATGTGGAACGATTGTTTCCCGTTGTGGTAGGTTCACTCCCGAAAGCAAATTATGTGTGATAAATATGCATGTATATAAATTGTATTCAAAAACACCTCGCGTTATTTTTACTGCAACAATTGGAGTTTAATGTTTATTCCTAAAGTTTGATTAGTCGTCGGTCACTTCATGCAAAATTTTGCAGGCGAAGCGCGGGCGGAGATTGACAGCACATCGCGTTTGTTGTTGTTGTTGTTGTGCTGTTTAAAATTAGCTTTTCTTCAGCATTTAACCGATTGCCACTTTAACCTTTTGTGAAGGCGTCAACTGTTGACAAACAATATAGACTCATAGTCATAGCGGCTTCATCAATAATGTGCATGCTGGTCCAAGATAAAATGCCGTCGGTCTCGTCGTTTTGCGACCTCAGACTACAATGCGATTAATACCACACCAAGGGACTAACATGGGATCAGTTTTATCTGTTATATTTTCCCGAACATGACACCTACCTACGTTCTGAATGTGTAACAGGGCCGCCCTAAAATTGCATTCCAATGATTCGTTTCTGACATAAAAATGACATTCAATAACAGTCACTTTAACGCAAAATAAGACTGTTAGTGAGAACATGGATGTACTAACAAATATCACTGTTACCTAAAATCAGAGCATTGTACCGTCCGCTGTACATAAAACTCAAACAAAGGTCAATTTGATATTTCGTATGAACCGACGATATGACGCTGTTTACAGTGATTTTGTATTTTTCTCTGTTAAAAAACCGCGATTACGGAAACGAGAGTACAAGTCCGCTTTAAATCCTCGCAACAAGAAAATATGCCGCTAAGACATCGGAGGCGAGGACTTATTTTTATTATTCACACAGTTCTAGCGGCCCGACTCGCTCGCAACTGCTACATTTAGTCACCGTCCCTCAACACACGAGGGACGGTGGTTTAGTGTACGTACCACACACGCACAAATAGCATCGTAGACATTCAGAAATTCATTTCAACACATGTACTAGCTGTGGAATCATAGCCCTATGTTGCCGACCGCATTATTTACGCGACTGACTCTGGCCGGCCCATAGGGCTATGGGGCCTTGTGCGACTGAATACCGGTTAAAATCCACATGCCGAATTTGGTCGTCGCGAAAATAACATTTTAAGACCTTCGAAAGTACTCACTATGTTTATTTACTTCCAAACAATGACCAGAACTTATTTG